CATAAATTGGTTTAAATATTGAGTATTTAACTTAAATACAACTGTGTTTTTTGTGCTGAAGAAATATTTCTATTACTTAAAATGGATTGATTGCGACTCCTCTGAGCTCTATAATTTTATATATGGAAATATACATCATACTCTTCAATCTCTTAAGCAACAAAATAGTTTTCAATCATCATGCTTTTATCAATACATGTATCTATTGAATACATCAAAGTAATTTGGAAATGCTCGACAGTAGACCGTCATATTTGCTCAAAATAAATCAACATTCAAATCCATTTTAATGTTTCATCTCTAATTATCTACATGTTTTCTGTAGCCGTTTTGTTCAATATTGCTGGCGTCAGTTGGTTAAACAGCAAATGAAAATCTCATGCGACTAGACCAAGCGTTCGTCATAGAATAGCTTAGCATGCACTCCATTTAATACTCGGTATTATATACCGGTATATCGCACACGCAGAGCTGACGCACGCACCTCTCTCGCGCGCAAACGCTTCGAGTTGTGAGTGTATGCCATGTGGTTCTGTGTCTGAATTGGTTGCGATCGTTGTGTATGTAAATGTGTGCGTGCGAGAGAAGTGCTTGCGGCAGCTCTGCGTGTGCGATATACCGGTATATAATACCGAGTATTAAATATAGCGTCTGCTAAGCTATACTCTCACGGACGCTTGGACTAGACTGAAATTTCAGTCCGAAACGGGATAATCCGCGATGCATTAAAAAACATTGATCGTAGACGTCAATTGCTTTCTGAAACATAGGTTGCACTTCCAATTGCACTAGAGTCGCATTTTTATGACTGTGTCACTTAACGAGATGTCCCGACATAGGATTACTTGAGCTACGGTTGGGCTGTAAAAAATGTAGCTTTTGCTAATTACGTGATTTTTTGACGAGCGTCTTCCAAACATTAGGTTGTGTACAACCACAAACAAACAACTACCTCTGCATCGGACGAAGTCACATTGTTCTTTGCTGAAGAATGGGTCTTCGTCAACATCGTATACAAAAGGACTATTACTTGTACACGAAAGTCAGTTGTGCCTTAGATTTTGGAGTGTTGACTTGTCTCTGCATCGATATAGTTGTGGGTCTTGTTCATTTTGAATTCGAATGCAAACACATTGATTTAAAATTTGTACTATTTCTACAAAAGCCATTTCTGTGATTGCAAAAGCCGGTAAGTTTTAAACTTGTTTTGTTTTTATTCAAACGTTTTTTCCGCCAAAATTTGAAGTTGAAATATTGATTTGTTTCCGTGTATTGATTTTTGCAGCCTCTGTTGAAGATTCGATTGATCCTATATTTGATATGACACACATTAATGCGAAATCTATCGACAACACCAACGTTCTTACGACTACTGCATTTAACAAGCCAATGAGTAAAATTCCTAACCTTGAGACTACCCCCTCTACATCAAAGAATTATCACATCGTGCCATATCTCAAGGTAAGTTTTAAATAAATGTTTCACTTTATTTTCGTTTTTTTGTTCAACAACGAAAATATTGAAATGGAATAGTTTACGGTATAATCAGAATCGGAAAATATTTATAAACTTTTGCATTGAATGGCTTTAATTAATTTCTCTCATTTTCAGAGTAACTGGCTGTTAGCAAATATGTATTGTAACAAGATTGGTATGCGTTTGATTAGCATTTCAACGATGGAAGAGCATGATGCAATTCTAAAGGCAATTCAAAATGTTGGTGAGTACATATTAAATGACCTTGTGTGGTTTTTTTTTTAAATCATAAAATGTCATGTGTCTCGATTCAGGTCTTAGTGGTGCAATTTTCTGGACCACCGGAAGGAGAGTTGACCATACTATGTATTGGTTTGCCACTGGCACTAAGCTGAATTTCACAAATTGGGGCCAAAATGAACCATTTAATCGGCATACCATGCAAGAGTGTATTGGAATTCAAGAATATGATAAATTGACATGGATTGATGTCAATTGCGATTACAACCTCAGAATTATGTGCGAAGAAGACCGACCCTAAAAATGCTTTCGTAACAACTCTGTGTAAACATTCGCATGGAATCAGCAAACTTTCGAATGTGATGTCATTGGGACGTCAGACACACACTTATACATATAGATTCCACATAGCATCATTTCTTCCAACACAAAGTCGTCCGATGTTTTTGTATTTATTTTCTTCACTCATCTCAATAAAAAATGTCTCGATAAAAATAACCGTGTTTGTTTCATTTCTCATGTAGTTTGAATCAGAGAATATTACCAGGTTTATTCGATCGCTTCCAATTTATCTACAGCTTGCACTACAAATCATCACCTTTTCTAATGCCGAACGTTAATTACGAAAATATTAAAATAAACATAAGAAAATATCAGAAAATCGATAAGCCATGAACTGTGAGTAACTACGTGTACCTAGTGTCATGACTACGTGTACCTAGTGTCATTACTACGAACTCACATGAATTTTAAGTAATCTCTCGTAATCTCTAAATCTGGTTAAATTTCGTTAAATACAGTATTTGGAGAACGCTAGGAAGACCGTGTTAATAAATTGTTAAATTTCCACATTTTATAAATTCAAAATATGATATATTCATTGGACTAATAAATTGTAAAAAATACACATGAAAAAAATAAATTCATTTAATTTTTCGGTAGAAATCTAATGATAAACTTCAAACGTATTCCCTTTTGAATCTCAATGAACACACATTTGGTAACTTCGATCAACCAAATGAAATTGAATTTGCTTCGGTAGAAAATCGAATACTAAATGAATTTTCAATGTTATTGAAGCATTTATTTATTCTTAATATTATTTATTTTAATAAATATATTTTAAAAAAATGAATAACATTCTTATTAAATTTAAAAACTTTGTTTTTCTGTGTACGTACTTAACTCACATTAAGTACGAACCGCCATTGCTGTATATTGCTGTAGTGGCAGCCATTTTCCTTTTGACACATTGAAGATGTGATAATCATTGAAATAAAATAAAATAAATATAATAAACAAATCAAGTTGGAATACACATAAATCAATTTGCATGAAAATTTCCATTACTTCTTAATACTCTAGTTTCATTTATTTATTCCGAATTTATAAATAAATGAAGCTCTTGACTACATAAATTTATTCAAATCATTTAGCTGACTTGTATATTATTCAAGAGAAATGAAAACTGCATGTCAACTTAGCAAATAAAATTGTTCTACAGTGAATTCAAAAACGTGCTTTGGGTAGCACATTTTTATTTTGACATGAAATTTACATTACTCCTGAAAAACGTATGAATAAACAGAATGCAAAATGATCTCTGGCATGTAATATATATGAATATGAACTGTCAAAAGCGGTGAAAAGGAAAATGGCCGCCATTACAGCTGTTCATACCGGTTCATACCCAATGTATGTTATGTACATACGCATAAAAACAAAGTTTTTAAATTTAATACATTTTGATACAGAATGTATTTCTTTTTATTTCAAAATATTTATCAGAAATAAATGTCTTAATAACAGCGAGAAATGTAGTGTCGATATACTCCATTATTGTTTACACGAAGTTTCCAAACGTTGCCAAAGAAGGTAATGTAATTCAGGAGTAATGAGATTTGTTCATTAGTATTCAAAGTGAATGCGTCATAGATTGATTTATCATTTATGTTTTACTGTCGGAATTTTTCCAAAAAAACGAATGAATTTATTCTTTCAAATTTTACAATTTATTAGTCGGTAATAGCAAGCACCCATGCGTATTATATTAAACTAATCATTTCAGTTGGTGTTTATTCAGTTGTATAGGTACTTAAAATGTATTTTACAAATCTGACAGAATCTGACAGTTGCGGCAAGACTACGGGGGTAGGGGGCGCCATGAGTATCAAATCTCTACAGTTCATGGCTTATGAAAATCGATGATTGATGAAAACAAATGCTCTTTACTGAATGATGACTTTCGTATTTATTTCAAAATAACTGGCAAAAAATCAGATTACACAGATAATATTTATTTCTTCATTATAAAAGTATGTCACAAAAACGGTGTCACTGCATTTTAACCTCATTTAGAGGTTTTTTGTCCCATGGTGTTCTCTCTGGGATTACTTGAATGCATGTTAGAGAGTACAGCTATGACTTAAGAGCAATAGAATATAAAATAGTTACTTATTCCTACTGTGTTCAGTGATTTTGGCCTTGTCTATGCAATTTCGTTATTTGTTTTCCCAGATAAGCACGATTTTTCTGATCCGACATAATTGTACCATGATCACCGTCCACTAAAATAACGTAAACATCTGTTGAAGAATTGACATTTTCCCAGCCCAACATCGGATAGCTATACAATTTCTCAAAAAGATCCATCTCATTCTTGTAAACGTTGTTCAAGTGCGCAATGCAAGCAGGCAACGTGTGTTGATCTACTGCCTTGAATAAATGTACTTTAATCGGTAGTGAATCGAATTTGAACGCTGCACATATATGTCGATAATGATGACGTTGTTTCGATAGCAATGCTTCCCATTCGATATCTGTATTTTTTAAATCTACATTTGTCTTTTTTATCTCTTCAATTGCTTCATTAAGAGTCAATCTACTGACACGTTCCCACCATTTTGAATCATTTAGCGTTTGAAAAACGGGAAATTTATATAGTAAAGATGTGGAGAACATTTCTGTTTCGGAGAGAATATTTTTGATGGGTGGATAAGTGTCGATTAAGCCTAGAAATGAAACAGAATTGCCACTGTTTATAAGCTGTTTCGCTATTTCATAAGCTAGAATACCACCAGCGGAGTAGCCAGCAATTGCATAAGGACTATTCGCTTGAATTTTCTTCATGAGGGAGATCATTACACAAGCCATTTCCTCGATGGACGATGGCTGTTTATTCTCTGGCGATGGCCATGGCAGCACAAAAACGGAAATAGTTTTGTCTATGTTATGGGCAAGTTCGAAAGCGTACGATATCCCACCTTGGCCTTCTGGTAACAGAAATAGAGGCGTCTCATTTCCGTATTGACGAACTGGAATAGCAGCATCACAATACAATCGGTTGGTTCGTTTAGTAATTTGTTCCGCCAAATCTTTGAGTATTGGGAAGGAAAATACACCACGAGCATAAATGTGCATATTGTAGAGCTTTGCTTTGTTAACGACATGCATCACAAACAGAGAATGACCACCCAATTCAAAGAAGTTATCATATCGACTGATACGGTCAATGCCAAGCAGTTCACGCCAGATATCGGCGAGTTTTTCTTCTATTTCACCCTGTGGAGCCTCATACTGCTGATGAGCAAAGGCTTTATCGTTCGGAGCTGGTAGTGCATGTCGATCTAGCTTACCATTGGGTGTGAGTGGTAAGGACGGTAGACTCACAAAAGCCGTAGGTACCATATAGTCAGGCAGTAAAGTTGATAGATATGTGCGCAAATCCTGTGCTAATGATGTATCTGCATCGGTCACCACATAAGCTACCAGACGAGCATCTGATCCATTGCCATATGATTGTACAACCGCGTCCTGCACTTGGGGATGTTCAACAAGTCGAGTTTCGATTTCACCAGGCTCAATTCGGAATCCACGGATTTTCACTTGTTCATCCGTGCGTCCCAGATAGACTAGATTACCATCATGCAGATATCGTGCTCGATCACCCGTTCGGTACATGCGTGCCGATGGATTGTTACTGAATGGATCGGGTAGAAAACGTTCTGCGGTTAGATCAGAACGGTTAAGGTAGCCACGTGCCACACCATCACCACCAATATACACTTCTCCCTCGGTTCCCAATGGCACTGGCTCGCCAAGCATATCCAGCAGGTAAATTCTTCTATTTGGCAGGGGACGTCCGATCGGTACCAGGTAGTTGTCAGGCATTTCGATATTACAGATGCAACTCGTTGTAAAAATAACTGTTTCTGTAGGACCATACATATTGATTAACACTGTTCGATCTTTATCATGCTTTTCATACCAGTCCCTTACAATCAAGGCATCTAAAGGTTCACCAACGAAGATCACATATCGCAGTCCAATGTGTCTCAGACTGATATTTTTTGCCAATATGAGCATTTTGAACGCCGATGGCGTTTGGTTTAGCACAGTAATACCATTGGTGCAGATCCAATCATAAAATTTGTCCGCAGAACGGGCAGTATCGTATGGTGGAATTGACAGTTGACTTCCATAGCATAACGCACCCCATATCTCCCATACCGAAACGTCAAAAGAAATCGAGTAGAACAAAGACCACTTATCCTGAGAATTAAAATCAAATTGATCATGGACAGACATAACTAGTTGCGCTGCATCGCGATGTTCAACCATCACTCCTTTCGGTGTTCCAGTTGAGCCGGATGTGTAAATGACATAGGCCAGATGAGTTGGAGTGAGTGCAAGCTTGGTCGTGTCCAGATTACCAATTGGCAAACCGGCAGGCAATGGTTTGTCCAATTCAATGACTGGTACTTGGTGATCTCCGAGTACATTGCGACCCACAGCATCTGCCAAGAGAAATATAGGATTGGCGTCCTTAAGAATATGGTTCAGTCGTTGACTCGGGTAGGCTGGATCGAGTGGGACATATGCGCCACCAGCTTTCAGGGTGCCCAGAATGGCTACAAGCATTTTCATATTACGTTCAACGCAAAGTGCGATTCTATCATCTGGTTTCACACCTCGTGCAATCAAGTAATGTGCTAACTGGTTGGATTGGGCGTTGAGCTCTGCGTAACTCATTGTTTCTCCTTTACACTCCACGGCAATCGCCTGTGCATCGCGTTCCACTTGCGTCTCAAATAATTGATGAAGACATTGGGCGGTTGGATAGGTAAACGTTGTTTGATTCCAGGTGTGCAGCAGCAACACGCGCTCTTCCGGTGGAATTACTGCTAATGTCCTTAACTGTTGCTGAGGCGTTTGTGTTAGCGCATTGGTCAGTGATTCCAAAGATTGTTGCATATAGGCACAAATCCGAATTGCCGATAACGGCGACAATACATGGACTGATAGGCACAATTCTTCATCGTTGTCATCGAACGACATTGTTAACGGGTAAGTAGTTAGCGCCACACCGCCTAATAAGCTGACTCCAGGATATGTTGCATGACCTTCCCTCTTGCCTTTATGACGATAGTTCAGCAGTGAACTGAAAAGTGGCAAACCAGGTGGCACTCCACTGCAGCGTTGTGCCAACACAAGTGGTGCGTGTTCGTGAGCCAACAATGCACTCAACCGAGCATGAGTATGGCGTACTGCAGTTTCGACACTCCTCTCATCAATATTTATCCGTATTGGAAGCGTGTTAATCGTCGGTCCCATGACAGTGTCGTGACCCTCTCCTGCTTGTAAACGGCCAAGCAGCACGGTACCAAGAACTACTGCCTCACGACCGCTAGTTCGAGCAAGCACCTGTGCCCATGCTAGATGACATAAGCTGGACAAACTAACCCGCGATTGCCGTGCGATCTCTCGCACTTGATTGTTTTGCATCTGTGGCAACATTAGATGTGCTTCGTTGATCTCAGTACCATAAAGGCCAGTGCCACTCAGACCAAATGGTACGGTTGGCTCGTCAATATCACCGAGCATTTCAGTGAAGAAATGGAAGTGTTTGGCTTGACTTACACCTAATCGAGCTTGGGCCACAAAATAACGGAACGGTGTAGGCGTTGTCAAGTCTTCAATCTTTCCATTCATGATGTCGTGCACTTCTGCCTCAAGTCTTTCCAGTGTTGAATGGTCAATAATCGAGTGATGCGTGAGTTGAAGTACAACCCAATTTCCCTTAGATGTTGGTGCAGCATAAAGACGTAACAATGGTGCCTTTGTCAAGTCTAATCGGTAGCAACGCAGACCGAATTGGTGGATCAAATTTTCTAGCACCGACTCACTAGCGCCATCCAATGTTACCTCGGTGAGTAATGAAGGAACCTGACGCAAAACCACCTGTGCGGGTTCACTAAGGCCCTCCCAAATGATTACAGTGCGCAGGATATCATGTCTTTTAATCACTTGTTTCAGAGCGTCTGCATAAAGTTCTAATGTTGTGCGGTCAATGAAACTCAGTTGACTTATAAGCAAATACGGATCTTCCTCCTCGGCCATTATGTGATGGAATAACATGCCATGCTGTAAAGGTGCCAATCCATAAATATCTTGGATATTAGCTACTCCATCAGGCACTTGTGCAACAATTGCATCGATCTCAGCCTGGTTAAGATTGATAAGTGGTAACATTTCTGGAGTAATAGCCGTACAGCCAGAGGTAATCATATTGGGCGGGATGTTCACTTCTTGGTAACGAGTGAGAGTTGCAGCTAATGTAGCAAGACTGGGAGCATCAAATACTTCCCGTACAGTGGTGTCAAATCCGATATGTCTCAACTGTGCCAACAATCGTACGACCAACAGAGAATGGCCTCCCAACGCAAAGAAATTATCATGTCGACTAATGTGCTCAACACTCAGCAATTCACGCCAGATGTCAGCTAGTTTTTCCTCTATTTCACTATGTGGAGACTCATAGTGCTGACGAGCAAATGCATCATCGTCCGGAGGCGATAGTGCTCGCCGGTCTAGCTTACCATTGGGTGTGAGTGGTAGGGACGGTAGACACACATAGGCCGCTGGTATCATATAATCAGGCAGTAAAGTTGAAAGATAGGTGCGCAATTCCTGGGCGAATGATGTGCCTTGTTCGGCAACCACATATGCCACTAGACGAGCATCTGATACATTGTCATAGGATTGTACAATGGCCTCGTACACGTGAGGATGTTCGACTAAGTGGGCTTCGATTTCACCAGGCTCAATTCGGAATCCACGAATTTTTACTTGCTGGTCGATGCGTCCCAAAAAGATCAGATTACCATCAGGAAGATATCGTGCTCGATCACCGGTACGGTACATGCGTGCCGATGGATTTCCACTGAATGGATCGGGTAGAAACCGTTCCGCGGTAAGTTTTGGACGGTTAAAGTATCCACGTGCCACACCAGCACCACCAATATACAATTCTCCCTCAGCTCCTAGTAGCACTGGCTCACCATATGGATCCAACAAATATACACAAAGATCTGCTAGTGGTCGACCAATTGAATGAACGTTTTCTAAAGATTCGAGTCTTTGATAGGTAACATGAGCTGTTTCTGTGGGTCCGTACATATTGACCAATACAGTTCGACTTTGGTCATATTTCTTCCACCATTCTTTTGCGATCAATGGATCAAACACTTCCCCGGCGAATATGACATATCGCAACCGATCGAATCGCAATATAATATTTTTTGCCCGCATAAGCGATTTAAATACCGATGGGGTTTGATTCAGTACAGTGATTCCTCTAGTACAGATCCAATCATAAAATTCGTCTGTTGAACGAGCGGTGTTATATGATATAATTGATAATTGACTTCCATTAAAAAATGCACCCCATATCTCCCACACTGAGACATCGAAGGAAAACGAATGGAACAAACACCACTTGTCTTGTTTGTTGAAATTAAATTTATCGCGTGCAACCTCAAAGAGACGTACTATTTGCTGATGCTCAATCATAACTCCTTTCGGTATTCCTGTTGAGCCAGAGGTGTAAATCACATAGGCCAGATGATTTGCAGTAAGTCCAAGCTTGATCGTGTCGGGATTATCAATTGGCACATCGGCAGGCAACACCTTTTCCAAGTCAACCACTGGTACTTGATGATCCCCGAGTGCTTTTCGGCCAGTAGCATCTGCCAACAGGAATGTAGGGTCGGCATCCTTTAGAATATGGGTAAGCCGTTGGCTCGGATAGACTGGATCAAGTGGTACATAGGCTCCGCCGGCCTTTAGAATACCCAGCATTGCAATGAGCATTGTTATGCTGCGCTCAACGCAAAGTGCGATTCGGTCATCTGATTTGATGCCGCGTGCGATCAAGTAATGTGCTAACTGGTTGGATCGAGCGTTGAGTTCTGAATAGCTTAGAACCTCTCCATTACATTCAACGGCAATTGCCTCTCCTTCGCGTTCTACCTGCACTTCGAATAATTGATGAAGACACCGGGCAGGTGGATAGGTAAACATTGTTTTATTCCAGGTGTGCAGCAGCAAAGTGCGCTCCTCCGATGGCATCACGGTTAATGTTCGAACCGGTTGTTGTGGAGATCGCGTTAACGCATCGGCAATTGATACCAGGGTGTGTTGCATGTAAGCATCTATTCGAGCTGCTGACATCGGCGACACCACATGGACCGATAGACACAAAGCTGCGTCGTTATCATCCAGAGAAAGAGTTAATGGGTAGTTTGTTCGCTCCTCAACGCCTAAGAAAGTTACCCCAGGAAATAACGCAACTTGTCCGGTCTGCTGATTATGTCGATAGTTCAGCAATGCACTGAACAGGGGTAAACCATCCGGGAATCCACTGCAGCGTTGTGCCAACACAAGTGATGCATGTTCATGTGCTAACAATGCACTCAAGCGAGAATGGGTTTGGCGCACTGCGATCTCAACGCCCGCCTCATCAATATCTATTCGTATCGGGAGGGTGTTAATCATCGGTCCCATGATATTATTGTTACCCTCTCCGGTCTGTAAACGGCCAAACAGCACAGTACCGAAGACGACTTTATCATGCCCGCTAGCTCGACTAAGTACTTGTGCCCAGGCCAAATGACAAATACTAGCCAAACTGACCTTTAAATTTCTTGCGTGCACCCGTAGCTGATTATAGATTATCTGTGGCAGCATCAGATATGTTTCATTGATGTCTGTTCCATCCCGACCAACATCATTCAGACCAAATGGCAATGTTGGCTCGTCAATATCACCGAGCATTTTTGTAAAGAAGCTTGTGAGCTGAGCCGTATCAACTTCTAATCGAACCTGAGACATGAAATTACGGAATGGGTTGGGTGTTGTCAACATTTCAGTTTTTCTATTGATGATGGTATGAACTTCTGTCTGTAGCCTCTCCTGTGTTTCGTGGTCGATAATTGAGTGGTGCATCAGTTGCAGTGCTACCCAGCTCTCATCAGATGTTGGCGCAGCCATCAATCGCAATAGAGGTGCTTTTGTCAAGTCCAACCGATAATGACGTGGATCAAATTTATGATTCAACTGCTCTATTATCGATTTACCGGTGTCATCAAGTGTGATTTCTGTGAGTATCGAAGGAACCTGGCGCAAGACAACCTGTGCCGGTTCACTAAGGCCTTCCCATATGAAGACGGTGCGAAGTATATCGTGTCGTGCAACTACCTGTTGCATTGCGTCCGAATAACATTCAAGTACCGTCCGGTCAGTGAACTGCATACGGCTTACAAGCAGGTAAGGATCACCACGTTCAGATTTTATATGGTGGAATAACATACCGTACTGTAATGACGTCAATCCATAAACATCTTGGATATTAGCTACTCCTCCAGGTGCTTGTGCGATAATTATATCAATCTCTGACTGAGATAGAGTGAAAAGCGGTAACATTTCTGGAGTAATCGTTTTGCTATCCGGGGTAATCAAATTGGGTGGAATAATTACTGTCTGATAAGGTGCGAGAGTCGAAGCCATCATGGCCACCGTAGGAGAATCAAATACTTTCCGAACGGTGGTATCAAGTCCGATCTGTCTCAGCTGTGCCAACAATCGTACCACCAGCAAAGAATGGCCTCCCAAAGCAAAGAAATTATCAAGTCGACTTATACGGTCAATACTCAGCAGATCGCGCCAAATATTGGCCAGTTTCTCTTCCATTTCACCCTGTGGAGCCTCATACTGCTGATGAGCAAAGGCTTTATCGTCCGGTGCTGGTAGTGCTCGCCGATCTAGCTTGCCATTGGGTGTGAGAGGCAAGGATGGCAGACACACATAAGCCGCTGGTATCATATAGTCAGGCAGTAAAGTAGATAGATATGTGCGTAAATCCTGTGCTAATGATGTATCCGCATCGGTCACCACATAAGCTACCAGACGAGCATCTGATCCATTTCCGTAGGGCTGTACAACCGCCTCGCGCACCTCAGGATGTTCCACTAGGCAGGCTTCAATTTCACCAGGCTCTATTCGGAAACCACGAATTTTTACTTGATGGTCTGTGCGTCCCAGATAGACCAGATTACCATCAGGCATATGTCGTGCTCGATCACCGGTACGGTACATGCGTGCCATTTGATCGTCTCTGAATGGGTCGAGGAGAAAACGTTTCGCAGTAATTTCAGGTCGATTGAGATAGCCTCGTGCCACACCATCACCACCAATATATATTTCTCCTTCGGCTCCTAGTGGCACTGGCTCGCCATGTGCATCAAGCAGGTAAATTCGCTTATTAAACAGCGGACGTCCGATTGGCATTAGTGAGCTTTTAGAATTTGTGACATCACTGATCCAACTGGTTGCAAAAATAACTGTTTCAGTGGGCCCATACATATTGATTATTACTGTTTGGTTTTCAGCGTTCTTCTCATACCAGTCTCTTACGATCAATGGATCTAACGCTTCACCACCACAGATAACATATCGCAGTCGATAGGATTGGGAGCTAACGTTTTTCGCACACATGAGCGTTTTAAATGCCGACGGGGTTTGATTTAGCACAGTGATACCATTGGTGCAGATCCAATCATAGAATTCGTCTGGAGAACGGGTTATATTGTAGGGCACAATCGACAGTTGACTACCATTTGAAAATGCACCCCAAATCTCCCAAATGGAAAAATCGAAAGAAATGGAATGGAACCAACACCACTTGTCTTGTTTGTTGAAATTAAATTTTTCACGTGTAAGCTCAAAGAGTCGTACAACTTGCTGATGTTCAATCATCACTCCTTTCGGTATTCCTGTTGAGCCAGAGGTGTAAATTACGTAGGCCAGATGATTTAATCGGAGTCCAATCTCGATCGCGTCTGGATTGCTAATTGGAAAACCGGCAGGCAACGGGTTTTCCAAGTCAACTACAGATACTTGATGGTCTCCAAGTATTTTCTGGCCAGTAACATCTGCCAACAGAAATATAGGGTCAGCATCCTGTAGAATGTTATTCAGCCTTTGACTCGGATAAACTGGATCGAGTGGAACATACGCTCCGCCGGCTTTTAGAATACCCAGCATTGCAATGAGCATTTTGGTGTTGCGTTCAACGCAAAGTGCGATGAGATCATCTGGTTTGACGCCTCGTGCAATCAAGTAATGTGCTAGTCGATTGGCTTGGGTGTTGAGTTCTGAATAGCTTAGAACCTCTCCATTACACTCTACGGCAATCGCTTGTCCGTCGCATTCTACCTGCGCTTCAAATAATTGGTGAAGACAGCGGGCAGGTGGATAGATAACCGTGATTTGATTCCAGGTGTATAGCAGTAACGTGCGCTCTTCCTGTGGAATTACTGGTAATGTCCTTAGCTGTTGCTGAGGCGTTTGTGCAAGCGTATAGGCTAGGGATTTTAGAGTTTGTTGCATATAGCCACAGATTCGAGCTGCTGACATTGATGAAGTTACTTGGGGCGTCAGTCCTAACGAATCACCATCATCTTCAACCGACATAACTAATGGATAATTTGTTCGCTCCTCACCGCTGAAGTAAGTTATACCAGGAAGTGACGCAGTGACCTGCTCGGCCTTCTGATTGTGGCGATAATTCAGTATTGCGGTGAATAGTGGCAAACCTGCTGGACACCGACTGCAGCGTTGTGCCAAAACAAGCGGAGCGTGTTCATGTGCCAACAACGCACTTAAGCGAGCATGGGTGAGGCGCACTGAGGTTTCAACAGGCGTATTATCAACATCTATCCGAATCGGTAGAGTATTAATCATCGGCCCCATGATATTATTGTTGTATTCTCCGGTCTGAAAACGACCAAGTAGCACGGTACCGAAGACTACCGCCTCACGGCCACTAGCTCGAGCAAGGACTTGTGCCCATGCCAAATGGCAAACACTAGCCAGACTGACCTGCAGCTTCCGTGCATGCCCACGTAGGTGATCATTTAGTCTTTGTGGCAGCTTCAGATTTGATTGGTTAGTCGCAGTACCGTCTAGGTCAACGTCTCTCAAATCAAATGGCAAGGTTGGCTCGTCAATATCACCGAGAATTTTGGTGAAGAATCGCTTATGCTCATCTGGACCAGTTCCCAGCCGAGCCTGGGCCACATGATTACGGAATGATGTATGCGCTGTCAACTCTTCAATTTTTTCGTTGATGATGGCATGAACTTCTGTCACTAGTGTCTCCAATGTTGAATGGTCAGTAATTATGTGATGCATCAATTGTAATGCCACCCAGCTGCCCTTAGATGCTGGCGAAGCCACCAAACGCAATAGCGGTGCTTGTGTCAACTCTAAATGGTAGTGACGTGGATTGAATCGGAAACTCAATTGCTCTAATACCGACTCACCAGTGTGATCCAATGTAATCTCGGTGAGTAATGGAGGAACTCGGCGTAAAACGACCTGTGCCGGTTCATTGAGACCTTCCCAGATGAAGACAGTGCGCAGGATATCGTGTCGCAGAACTACTTGTTGTAAGGCATCCGCATAACGTTCAAGCGCTGTCCGGTCAGTAAAACGCATACGATGTATTAGTAGATACGGGTCACCACGTTCGGCTTTTATGTGATGGAACAACATACCGTTCTGTAACGGCGCCAGTCCATAAATATCTTGAATATTCGCTACTCCTCCCGGTACCTGTGCAATGATTGCATCAATCTCAGCCTGAGAAAGAGTGATGAGTAGTAACATTTCTGGAGTAATCGCCGTGCTGTCCGTGGTAATCAGATTGGGTGGAATAGTCACTTCCTTGCGACGGTCAAGCGTAGAAGCCAAAATGGTCAGAGTAGGAGCGTCAAACACTTTTCTAACAGTGGTGTCCAGTCCAATATTTCTCAACTGTGCCAACATCCGTACGACCAAAAGAGAATGACCTCCCAACGCGAAGAAATTGTCATATCGACTAATGCGCTCAATACTCAGCAATTCACGCCAGATGTCAGCCAATTTTTCTTCCATATCACCCTGTGGAGCTTCATACTGTTGATGAGAAAAGGCCTCATCATCCGGAGGCGGTAGTGCTCGCCGGTCTAGCTTACCATTGGGTGTGAGTGGTAGGGATGGTAGACACACATAAGCCGCTGGTACCATATAGTCAGGCAGTAAAGTTGATAGATAAGTACGTAAATCTTGTGCTTTTAATGTATTCGCATCAGCCACCACATAAGCCACTAGACAAGCATCTGATCCATTGCCGCGAGGTTGTACAACCGCCTCGTGCACCAGATGATGTGCGACTAGGTGGGCTTCGATTTCGCCAGGCTCAATCCGAAATCCGCGAATTTTTACTTGTGAATCTGCGCGTCCTAAATATATCAGATTACCATTTGGCAAATATCTTGCTCGATCACCGGTACGATACATACGTGCTGCTGGATTGTCGCTGAATGGATCGGGTAGAAACCGTTCCGCGGTAAATTCTGGACAGTTAAAGTATCCACGTGCTACACCATCACCACCAATATACAATTCTCCCTCGGCTCCAAGTGGCACTGGTTCGCCATGAGCATCCAACAGAAAAATCCGTTTATTGGGGAGCGGACGACCAATGGATACCAGCGAGTTTATAGAAATAATGGCATCGTTCACTGTCCAACTAGTTGCAAAAACAACCGTTTCAGTAGGACCATACATATTAACCAACACAGTTTGAATTTTATCGAATTTCTCATTCCAGTACTTTACAATTGATGGATCCAACGCTTCACCACCAAAGAGAACATATCGCAATCGATCGGAGCGCGAACTGACACATTTAGCTCTCATAAGCATTTTGAATGCCGATGGGGTTTGATTTAGCACAGTGATACCATTGGTGCAGATCCAATCAAAGAATTCGTCTGGAGAACGGATTATATTGTAGGGCACAATCGACAGTTGACTTCCACAGAATAATGCAGCCCATATCTCCCATACGGAAAAGTCGAAAGAAACGGAATGGAACAAACACCACTTGTCTTCTTTGGTAAAATCATAGATGTTGTATACAGACCGGATTAATAGCTCTGCATGTTGATGTTCAACCATGACTCCTTTCGGGGTTCCTGTTGAACCAGACGTGTAAATCACATAGGCTAGATGGTTTGGAGTGAGTCCAAGATTGGTCGCTTTGGGATTATCGATTGACAAATCAGCAGGCAACGGTGTGTTTAAGTCAATCACTGGTACTTGGTGGTCTCCAAATGCTCTACGGCCAGTAGTATCTACCAACAAGAATGTTGGGTCGGCATCATGTAGAATATTGGTTAGCCGTTGACTCGGGTAGGCTGGATCGAGTGGTACATAGGCGCCGCCTGCTTTCAGAATTCCCAGCATTGTTACAATCATTTTTGTACTACGCTCAACGCAAAGTGCGACGCGATTATCTAGCTTAAAGCCTCGTGCAATCAAGTAATGTGCTAGCCTGTTGGATTGGGCATTGAGCTCAGAGTAAGTCAGCATCTCATCTTTATATTCAATAGCAATAGCCTGTCCGTCACGTTCCACCTGTTCTTCAAATAATTGGTGGAGGCAGCTTTTGGGTGGAAAGGTTACCGAAGTTTGATTCCAAGTGTGCAGCAACAACGTGCGCTCTTGCGGTGGTATCACAGTCAGGGTTCGAACTGGATGTTGAGGCGTATGCATTAACGCATCAACCATCGACTCCAGAGAATGTTGCATGTAGAAACCAACCCGAGCTGCAAACGTTGGTAAAATTATTTGAGCCCTCATGATCAACGAACTACCATCATCTCCAACCGACATGGTTAATGGATAATTTGTTCTTTCTTCAGCATCTATGACATTGACTCCAGGAAATTCAGAATTGACTTGGTCGGTCGGATGAATATGAAGGTAATTCAGTAAAGAGCTGAACAATGGCAAACCATCCCCGACTCCACTGCAGCGTTGTGCCAACACAAGCGATGCGTGTTCGTGGGCCAGCAACGCACTCAACCGAGCATGGGTATGGCGCACTGCAGTCTCGACGCCCGTATTGTTAATGTCTATCCGTATTGGAAGCGTATTGATCATTGGTCCCATGATGTTATTGTTCACTTCCCCAGCTTGCAAACGACCAAGCAACACAGTGCCGAAGACCACGGCCTCACGTCCGCTAGCTCGAGCAAGCACTTGTGCCCAGGCTAAATGGCAAATACTAGCCAGACTGATCTGTAGCTTGCGTGCATGCGCCCGTAGTTGATCATTGAGTGTTTGTGGCAGCATCAGAAGTGCTTCGTCGATCTCAGTACGGTCTCCACCAACATCACACAGACCAAACGGCAAGGTTGGTTCATCAATATCACCAAGCATTTTGGTGAAGAATCGCTTATGCTCACCTGGACTAGCTCCTAGTTGAGCCTGGGCTACAAGATGACGAAATGGAGTAGGCATTATAAGTTTTCCACTTTGCTCGTTAGCTATAGAATGTATTTCTGCCTGTAGTAGCTCCAATGTTGCGTGGTCACCAATTATATGATGCATTAACTGCAACACCAACCAGCTCCCTTCAGATATTGGCGCAGCTAGTAAGCGCAACAGCGGTGCCTGTGTCAAATCTAATCGATAGAGACGGGCATTGAATTGTTGAGTTAACTGATCTAGAACCGGCTCAGCAGTGTCAAGCACTATGAAAGGCGAAGGAACATGGCGCAATACCACCTGCGCTGGTTCATTGAGACCTTTCCAGATGAAAACGGTACGAAGGATATCGTGACGGGCAATTACCTGTTGCAAGGCGTCTGCGTAACGTTCAAGTGTTGTCCGATCAATAAAACTCAATCGAATGGCTGTCAAGTATGGGTCTACTTGTTTGGCCATCATATGATGGAACAACATACCGTGCTGTAAAGACGTCAATCCATAAATATCTTGGATATTAGCTACTCCCTCAGGTACTTGTGCGATAATTGCATCAATCTCTGTCTGAGAAAGAGTAATAAGAGGTAACATTTCTGGAGTAATAGCAGTGCTATCTGTTGTAATCAGATTGGGCGGAACATTATTTCTCTGGTAAGGTGCAAGGGTCGATGCCATCATGGCCAGGGTAGGAGCATCAAATACTTTCCGTACGGTGGTATCTAGTCCGATATGTCTAAGCTGTGCCAACAATCGTACAACCGAAAGAGAATGGCCTCCCAATGCAAAGAAATTATCATGTCGACTAATGCGCTCAATACTCAGCAATTCACGCCAGATGTCAGCCAATTTTTCTTCCACATCACCCTGTGGAGCTTCATACTGCTGACGAGCAAAGGCGTCTTCGTCCGGAGCTGGTAATGCTCGTCGATCTAGCTTGCCATTGGGTGTGAGAGGTAAGGAAGGTAGGCATACATAAGCCGCTGGTACCATATAATAAGGCAGTAAATTTGATAGATGAGTACGCAAATCCTGAGCTAATGGTGTATCTGAATCGGTCACTACATAAGCTACCAAACGAGCATCTGATCCATTGCCATAGGATTGCACAACGGCCTCGTGTACATGAGGATGTTCGACTAAACGGGCTTGAATTTCGCCAGGCTCAATTCGGAATCCGCGGATTTTTACTTGTTGATCTGTGCGTCCCAAATATACCAGATTACCATCAGGAAGATATCGTGCTCGATCACCGGTACAGTACATGCGTGCTGCTGGATTGTCACTGAATGAATTGGGTAAAAATCGTTCCGCGGTAAGGTCTGGACAATTGAGATAGCCACGTGTCACACCACCACCACCGATATACAATTCTCCTTCGGCACCTAGTGGCACTGGCTCGCCATGCTCATCCAGCAAATATGCACAAAGATCTGCAAGCGGGCGTCCAATAGCGCAAGCGTTTTCTACAGTTTCTAGTAGTTGGTAAGTAGCATGAATTGTTGTTTCAGTGGTGCCATATAAATTGACCAACATCGTTTGACATTTACTGTAATTTTCATGCCATTCCCTCACAATCGTTGGATCTAACGATTCACCACCAAAGATTACATATCGCAGTCGATCAGTTCGCGAACTAACATTTTTCGACTGCATTAGCAATTTGAATACCGACGGAGTTTGATTTAGCACAGTAATTCCACTGGCACAGATCCAATCATAAAATTCGTCCGTTGAATGGGTCATACTGTATGGTACAATCGACAGTTCACTTCCATTTAACAATGCACCCCATATCTCCCATACCGAAAAGTCAAAAGAAAACGAGTGAAACAAACACCACTTGTCCTGTTTGCTAAAATCGAATTTATCGCGTGTAACCTCGAAGAGTCGTACGATCTGCCGATGTTCAACCATCACTCCTTTCGGTGTTCCCGTTGAGCCGGAAGTGTAAATAACATAAGCCAAATTGTTTGGAGTGAGTTCAAGTTTGATGTGGTCCAGATTTTCGATCGGTAAATCGTCAGGCAACGATTCGTCTAAGTCAACCACTAGTACATGATGGTTTCCGAGGGCTTTTCGGCCAACAGCATCTGCCAGTAGAAATATTGGACTGGAATCTTCTAGAATATGGGTTAGCCGTTGACTCGGGTACACCGGATCGAGTGGGACATATGCGCCACCAGCTTTCATGGTGCCCAGAATGGCTACAAGCATTTTCACATTACGTTCTACGCAAAGTGCGATTCGATCGTCTGGTTCGACACCTCGTGCAATCAAGTAATGTGCTAACTGGTTGGATTGAGCGTTGAGCTCTGCGTAACTCATTGTTTCTCCTTTACACTCTACGGCAATCGCCTGTCCATCGCGTTCCACCTGCATCTCAAATAATTGATGAAGACATTGGTCAGTTGGATAGGTAACCGTGATTTGATTCCAGGTGTGTAGTAACAACATGCGCTCTTCCGGTGGAATTACTGCTAATGTCCTTAATTGTTGCTGAGGCGTTTGTGTTAGCGCGTTGAGCATCGATTCCAGCACTTGTTGCATATATGCACCGATCCGAGCTGCTGACATTGGTGAAATCACTTGAGGCGTCAGTCCCAATGAATTACCATTATCTTCAATCGAAAGGACTAATGGGTAATTTGTTCGTTCCTCACCACTTAGAAAAGTGACGCCAGGAAGTGACTTAGCCTGCCTCGCTTTCTGGTTGTGGCGATAGTTTAGCAGTGCACTGAACAGGGGCAAACCATCCGGAACTACACTGCAGCGTTGTGCCAATACAAGCGGTGCGTGTTCGTGAGCCAACAATGCACTCAACCGAGCATGAGTATG